GAATTCAACCAAATCCTGCAGGGCCCTGATCTCCCCATTCCTTGTTCTCTTTTCCATTCCATCTCTTACCCCTCTCCCTCGCTGTTGTTTCAGATGTGGGCACCATCCATTAAGACAGAAGCGACATTCCCTGAGGCGGGAGGAGCTTCCTTGGAGGAAGGGCAGAGGGCGCAGGCCCAGAAGTGTGCCCAAGATGCCCTCTCCTGTGGTAAGGACTCTTTGTGCCTGGGTGTGTGTGGGGCACGCCCGTGAGTTGGATGGGTAGAGAGTTCAGGTCAGGAAAAGAATTAAACACTTCTTCAGACAACACAAGAGTTAATTTGTGGCACTCAGTGTCCACTAACTGTGATTCCTCTCAAAGAGGAATCAGACACATTCATTGGAGGCGATTCCTCCCATTAATTAAAAGGTTCATATCTCACTTTCCTACAACGGGAAACTCAAGGTGTCTCAAAAGAGGAAAGGTAGACACACCTGGGCAGAGCTATTCAACCTGGTGAATCAAGGGAGCCTCCAACTTCTGGGGCAGCAGAGCTCTGAAAACCAGTTCCGTGGGCCCAATAATCATGGGAAGATTTGGCTTCTGTGCCCGTGCTTACAGGGGCATCTGGCGGGCCGCTTTGGGAAATACGGTGCTGGAGTAGGGATGGCAGGCTGTGGACTCGCACCCCCCAGGAGTTTTGGGGAAGGGCTTCAGGGTGTGGAGTAAATGTGATGCCATCTTGATGTGGCATCTGGCTGAAAACCCATTTCTGACGTTAGCATGACAACAGACGCTCTGAAATTTCATTGATATTACCCCGGAGCTTCCAGATGTGCTATACTCACGACTGGGTTCTGGACCGAATGTAACGCAGATGTGTCATGCGACGTCATTTCCACCCCACTCTCTCCCTCCCCCCAGGCCAGACAGAAGTCTCACAGAATTCTGAAATATCTTGGGAACACTTGTAACCCCTGAGGCTCAGAGGTACCTGGTGCTTCTGCCTCTCCAAGAATTTAGTAAAAAGTGTTAAAAATGTCTTGAGTGTACCCAGGGCAAGCTTTCACAACCCTGGGAAGGGTGCGTCTGAAGCAGGGAACAAGAAAGCCAGCAGCCTTCCTTCCTCCTTTGTCTCAGGAACAGGCAGTGGAGAGATGCTGTTGAGCTGTCATCTTTTCAGAGGTGTGGAAACGGCTGATGCGCCTCCAGTCCAGGTAGGAGAGATGAG